AGATAGATAGATAGATAGATAGATAGATAGATAGATAGATAGATAGAAATGACAAGACATAACTATAGTTTAAGGCCATTTCTTTTACTTCTGTCTTCATTCAGTGAAGACAACACTCAAAATTTACCCCTTAAATGCTTGATTGTCAAACATTGTTCATATGTATGTTCACTGTTTGTTTATTATTCTTTAATAAAAGTTGGACAAACAAAACAGGAAAGCATCCAGCCACCTGAGGAAAGGTAAGAAAAGTAGGGGGCATTAAACAGGACGTCTTTCCGGCTTCCAAAATTTGATTTAGATCGGAAATCGATGGATTTAAACCCGTTTCCATCTTTGATTGTTCGAGCTGCAGATTTCATGAACATGTTCTTTCTCTGAGAATAATTTCTGTCCAGTTTCCGGTCACACAAAGTCACAGAACTGACTACAGAGGGGCTGGAATCCTCTTCATTTTCTTAAGAAATGTCCTCAGCCTCATCAATTCTAATTCTAACAGATTTCCCAGTTCATTTCCCATTTGTAATGTTGTCATTTGGTCTGTGCTTGCTCCAGATTTCTTGACACAGCTGACTCAGCAGTTTTTTTTTTTATACCACCCCGCGTCCCTCCTGGGGGAGTTCTGTAATAACCCCCACAGATATTTACCTTGTCGTGGCCCAGACTTTTTCAGACAGGTATTTAGTCTTGTGCAGGTAGCTCAGAAATGAAAATTAGAGGTTGGCTGAATGTTTTGGGGAAATCACAGCTCGCCGTGTGTTGTCTGTGTTATTTTCCAGCCTCCGCCCCGTTTTATTTGTGATTTAGATTCAGGGTTTAGCTGAAATGTGAGATAACAGAAGTCCCGGCTCACTGTTTGCCTCCCCCTTTCTGGTTGTGTTTAAGCTTTCCTGGCCTGGTCACTGAGAGTAATCACAATTAACAAATAAAAACTCATGGACATTTCTGGGAGCAGCTGGCCACGGCTGGCAAATAGCATGCCCTCCATTAGGCAGAGGATTCTGGGATTTGGACATGTGAGGGTTACATTCTGCCCCTTTTTGGCGCAATTAGAGTTTAACAGTGTTTCCCGCATCATGGGGAATGTGATTAAAAGCCCTAATCAGAAGATCTGCCTGGGAAAGAGCATTGTGATGTTCAGCTTGATGATTATAATCCTGATAAACACATGCAAAGTTGAAAAAATCTGAGCTGTTAAGAGAAAAAAAACAACCATGATCATCAGAATTAAGGTCTCTTTTCCACAAATGGTTGAGTTAGGTTGTCTTGGCTTCAAATACCTAAAACAAGTTGTAGAGACTGTTCAGGTGGGTTAAAAACTTTTTTTATTATCATAAAGAGATCCTAATCAGTGACAGACAAAAGTGGTGGAGTGTTAAATTACTGTGAATGGGTAACTGGCCTTGTTACACAGGATTTTCCTTTAGATGGAGCCAAAAAGTGTCATGCCTGGGGTGTTTTTTTTGTGTTTTGTCATATCTTAGTTGTGTCATTTCCTGTTTTATTTTGAAACCCATATCCCCTCTGGTTTTCAGGTGCACTTCCTGGTGTGTCACCGGTCTGATTGTCACCCATTGTGTTCACCTGGGGTTCCCTTCATGTGTTAAACAGTTTGTGTTCCCCTTGTCTGGTGCCAGTGGGTTTCGTCCTACCAACCTTATATACTGAGCTTAACCTGCCATACAATTCCTTGTCTTGAGTCACCACGATTTTCCTGGTAAGAGTGATCATTATTTTGCACTTTCATAGTTTTCCATCCTTGTTTTTGAGGAATATTTTGCACTTTGTCCTTAGTTTTGTTCTTCTCGTATGAGAGATTATCATTTTGTTTATTCATGGCCATTGCTTCCGCTCCCTTGTTTAATAAAAAGTCCTCGTTTTTGCAGAGCTCTGCTCTTGAGTCGTGTCTTGAGCTCGTCCTGACAAAAAGCAGAGATTGCTTGATGCCCTAACCGCCTTCTTCTCTGACAACCAGAGAAGATGAGTCTAGCTGAGTTTTCAAATGATTCCGATTAGATTGGGTTGGCTGACGAGGAAGCGTTTATTTGGGCTTCTGTCTGGTCACGATGCATTCAAACAAACTAACAAATTCTAGTCTAAGTCAAGCCCAAAGTCAGAGTGCAAACAAACCCACACAGGGATGTTTCTAACAAAGAATTTAGTGCTGTGTCTCCACACATACAGTGGGGGAAATAAGTATTTGACCCCTTAATGATTTTACAGGTTTGCCCACTTACAAAGAATGCAACGATCTATAACTTTAATCA